GCTGCCGACAGACGGAGGCCAACCTGCTCAGGGTAGGTGCCACCCCTGCCCGGGGAGCAAGGCAGAAAAGCCCTCAACAACTCACCTCCAGGAGTATCTCCTTCAGTTCGGAATAGGCTTTTTCCAAATCGTCATTAATAATGACCAGGTCAAACAGGCCAGGCTCTTTACCTAGGGAAGGAGACAAGGACAAGGAGTTAGAGGAGAACACGCTTCTTCCCTGTGTCACGTCTCATAGAATCATGGAAGGGTTTGGGTTGGAAGGGACCTCAAGGATCATCCAGTTCCAACCTCCCTGCCACGGGCAGGGACACCCTCCACTACACCAGTGTCATTAATAATGACCAGGTCAAACAGGCCAGGCTCTTTACCTAGGGAAGGAGACAAGGACAAGGAGTTAGAGGAGAACACGCTTCTTCCCTGTGTCACGTCTCATAGAATCATGGAAGGGTTTGGGTTGGAAGGGACCTCAAGGATCATCCAGTTCCAACCTCCCTGCCACGGGCAGGGACACCCTCCACTACACCAGGTTGCCCAAAGCCTCATCCAACCCAGCCTGAGTACCTGTGACATTTTAATGTCGTCATTTCAGCCACTGCTAACACACTGCTCTGTCAGCTGCCCACAAGAACCGCAGCGGAAACGACGCAGTACAGTCCTTGGATCAAATCCAGCTACTGCCAGCGCTCCTCGGGGAACACCAGCTCCATGTTCATGCAGAAAACAGCTCCTAAACCACCATCGCACTCGCTTCCCCCGGATACACCCCTCAGAGGTGCTTGGACTTACTGAGCTCCAAATCTACGCGGGCCGCAGTCAAACGCTTCAGCAAACTTTCTTCTGTCTCAGTCTTTCGGTCACGTAGTCTTTTCTCCTAAACCCAACGACAAACATCATAAAGAAATGAGTGTTCCCAATGCAGCATGCAGAAACCACCACCCACCCCATAAGCCAGCGCTGTTTGTCCTTCCAGTACCTAAAGGGGCTACAGGAAATCTGGAGAGGGGCTTTTTCCAAGGGTGTGTAGTGACAGGACAAGGGGCAATGGCTTTAAACTGAAAGAGGGGAGATTTAGATTGGATATAAGGAAGAAATTCTTCCCTCTGAGGGTGGTGAGGCACTGGCACAGGTTGCCCAGAGAAGCTGTGGCTGCGCCATCCCTGGAAGTGTTCAAGGCCAGGCTGGATGAGGCTTTGGGCAACCTGGTGTAGTAGAGGGTGTCCCTGCCCATGGCAGGGGGGGTGGAACTAGATGGTCTTCAAGGTGCCTCCCAACCCAAACCCTTCTGTGATTCTGTGATTTCCTACTGCCAGTGACCACGTGAAACAACACTTTGCAAAGGGTGCATGACCTCATTTACAGCCCAGCACAAACCAGTGGCCAAACTGAGTTTGGGCTCAAGATCTCCTGCCCAGAGCTCAAGTTCCCAGTCTCTTTTCTCCACTCTGCATTTTTTTTTTTTTTTTTTTTTGCAGGTACTGCTGGAAGATTAAATCTTTCTGCTGGGCTCTGGCATCCCGTGCTGTTGGCTTCTTCCTCCACAAACTCAAGGAGAAACACAGAATGCCTGATCCGCTGATAACAAGAGGAGAGAGCCAGGAGCCATGGGCTTCTCTGCCACGTGCTCCTTGCACGGCTCCAGCAAGTCACATATACACATCTGCATCCCTCTGGGAGCCAGAGGTTGGGGAGTCAGGCTGGGCAGAGGTAACTGTGCTCAGAAACATCCTCCCCACCTCTTCTACAGCCCTTAAAAACCCACATATGAATCAACGAGGGGGAACCCAGATGGCTTCAGAGCAAGATGCTGATTACCTCTAACGGCCTAACGGCAAAGGAAGGCGGTCGCTCACCAAGATGTCTATGGACGGAGGCTGCACGGAGATGTAGATGGGGTTCAGGTCTGTCTTCTTGATGTTCTTCACACCCTGGATGTCGATGTCGAGGACGCAGATCTGATTCTGGGCCTGAACAGCCTGCACTGCACCTTTACTGGGGAAAAAGCAAAGAGGGAAGGGGTCAGAGCATCCAGCTACAGCAGTGGGGATCTGCGGAGTCTCCCTCCAGCAGCGGTTGTCCACCTCACAGGACTCCCCAGTGCCCAAATTGTGGCAGGAGAGAAGGGAGAGCCTGCTCTGCTCTTGCTAAACAGTTTCTCTCTCCTCAAGTGTCCTCTGGGTCCCTGGGGTGGAGCAGAGACCTGCTGTCACCTGCTAGAGAGACTGGAAAAACCATGACGGAAGGTGTGGAAATGGATAATGCACAACTATCCCATGAGCAGTGTGGCCCAGGGACAGTCCATAAAGCTCCTGCCTTCGACAAACACAGGAGCAACCTTCACCAAAAACACTGAAAACTTTCTTTCTCCAGAGATCCACCAATTTCTGTACCTACGCACTCTCCTGAAGGATGCTTGATGGAGATGGATGCTCCTCCCCGGGTCGCAAGACGCACAGTTAAGAAAATATTTTTTAAGTGGTGGTTCTCGTATATCATTACAGACCGTATCTCTTCCCCAACATGGGGGAATTGCCTCCAGCTTTTTCCTGAACACCTACAATTCTCCCTTGAAAAGCAGCAATGCCAACCCTCTCCTAGTGTGCTGCAGGTACCTGGGGTAGTTACTGAGTAGCCACCCTCTTGGGAGATTATTCAGTTGGCATTTGCACGGTGCTGGGCACAGGTGGTTCTTCAAGCCGGAGCTCCATGGCATGATGGGCAGTGTGGAGGGAAGCCCTGTCAGGAGCTCAGAGGCAGCACTGCAGGTTTTGAGGTCATGAATTCCAGAGGTCACACAATGGCAGCAGAGATTAAGAGAAAACACTGCCCTGCAACCAGCCTCCAACTTGCTCGGTTCCCTGCCCACACCTAGGGCATCTCTTTAGACCTCACCTCGTCACCATGCACCACCAAGGTTTGCTCCCTGATGCCTTCTGTAAAATGTGCTGAAAACATACTCCCTTAAACAAATGTTCCTGTATTGTCCTACACCCCAGGAAACAGGAGGCACAGCTCCAGTGAAACAGGATTTGGGACCCCCAGCCTTCCTCCCACAGCTCTCACCAGCCCCCCTCCTGGCTGTGCCTGCTGGAGGAGACAAGGTTCTTCACTGACACAGAGGGAAAGCACCCACGGGTGTCACACGGCAGCTGCTCACGGCCACAGTGCTGCTGTTGGCAGGGTGTGCAGACGAAGATGGAGAGTCCTGAACTCATGGGTACCACAGCTTCCTGACAGCCCTCTGCAAACACAGCTGGAAAGGACAGAGGCAGCACGAGCAGAAGGTGCCTCTTGGAGGGATATGGAGCAAAGTTGAGATGGGGAAAGCTGTAAAGATTTCTGGGAGCCTGAAAGCCCAGAAAAGCTCTGGCAAACAGAGATGAGCAACGGAGCAGCTCGACACAACGTTGAGCTGGGTGCGGCAGCTGGCCCAGTCCGTGCAACAGGGTCTACTGCCTGTCGAGACACTGCCGTGATGGGGACACAAAGGAGGATGGAGGTGGCCAGTGACTTTCCTCCTGCCCTGGGAGTCCCACCACAGGGTCACAAACCCCAACAGGAAGGAGAAAGCTGAAGCGAAGCTGTGAGATCAGCACTGCGCCCTACACAACATGCAGAGATTTGCTGCCTTGCCTGGGTGGGCAGCAGCGAGAGCCCAGATCTGAGCCCCATCCACTGCCAAGACACAAAACTTCCCCAAAACAGCTTGGTTTGCCACGTGAAAGCTGCAGGCTTCATCTGGTGTCACCAGGTATCAACTGACTCCCACTACAACCGACCTACAAAGAGCCAGCAGCTCTCAGAGCCTCAAGAAGACAACTCCAAGCCTGCACTCTGACTTCAGCCTCTAATTTAAAGCAACTTCAAAGAAATCCTGTTTTGTTTTTTTTTTTTGTGGGCAGAAACTCACAGACAAGGCCCTTTCAGGGCTCTTAAATTAAGCAACTAATTTTTATTTATTCATTATTATTAGCTGGTGACATTCAGGTAGTCAAAAGGACCAGCAAAAACTTCCACTACTCAGATACACGTGAGGGACTGTCTCCATTTTATAACACACCTGAACAGAAACATCCTTAGGCACTGGTAGAGGAAATAAAGGAAATACAGGCTTGGAGAGTTTCTGTACTTACTTTGTTTGCAAACTGGTCCTTATTGCTGAGATGGTTTGAGTTTATTTCGGCCTCCCACCCTGCACGCCCACCACCACAGACAGAGCACAGGCAGCACGAATACGCAGAGGGGACAACGTGCAGAGAAAGCAAGGGCCAGGGAAAAAAGCACCTCAGAAACAAACCCAAGCACGTCATTTAATTTGGTTTGAGTATCAAATTCCTGCAAATCTCAAGGAAATTTGCTGAGATGTCTTCTCAGCACTCACCCTGAGGAAAAGGCACCAAGCCCAACTCCACCTGTGGCTCAGACATCAGAAAGCAGCCGTCTCCTCCACGGTGTGGCTGGCCTGATTAAGGAGGACACACACGAAGGAAGGACGGCTGTCCTACGCAGGATGGAGCCAGGGATTAAGGAGCTTGAACTCTATTTCTCCTTGGTGCTGGGTATTTGCAAGACGAGCTGTCAGAAGTTTTCTCTCGCCAAACGAGTGACACTGGAAGTATCAAGGCCAGGGCAGGGGACTGTGCTTCTCCATCAGCCTCAGAGGGAACCCAGCCAGACCTCTGCGAGGCTGCGGGGACAGCAGTGGTGCTTCTGCATGTCCCACCAAAACAGCCATGTTGCTGAAATGCAGAACCACCAACCCTTCCTTCAGAGCTGTACACCTACAGCACGTTCAGGCTGGGGGCCTTATGTAGGTACCTCCCACAAGGAAACCATCCTCAGAAAGAAACTTTGCCATCTCCAAAAAATCCTCAAAAAACCCACATTCAACTCTAAGAAATATTAAGTCTTCCTGAAAACTGTTTCAGGCAAATTTTTCCAATGCAACTCACAAAATCTCTCAGGAAGCATTCAACTTCCCTCCTTAGCAGGTGCTTTAACATAGCGCCACGATTTCCTCACAGTAATTATATCTGACTTCTAATTAACATTGCAGCTTAACGTTTTATTGACCACCAGCTCCAACGCCCAGGGCAATGCTATTTTAAACCCCACCTAACTCTTTAACCCCAGTCCAGGGTGCAGTTTATCTGTCCCTAAGCAGCCCCTTTACCGAAGCAGCATGCACACCTGTTTCACAACAGCCAACACAGACATCATCACCTCTGCTCCGGAATTCATCCTATTCAGACCATCAGGTAACACAGGGATAACGAGAGCACGTTTCTATTCCGCCCACTGCTCTCTCCGAGCACTTGGAAAACATTTGACAGGCTGGAGAGGTGGGCCTGTGAGAACCTCATGAAGTTCAATAGGGCCAAGTGCAAGGTCCTGCACGAGGGTCGGGGCAACCCCATGCACAAGTACAGACTGGGCGGAAAATGGATTGAGAGCAGCCCTGAGGAACAGGACTTGGGAGTGCTGGTGGATGAGAAGCTCAACATGAGCCAGAAACGTGCACTGGCAGCCCAGAAAGCCAACCATGTCCTGGGCTGCATCCAAAGCAGCGTGGGCAGCAAGTCGAGGGAGGTGATTCTGCCCCTCTGCTCTGCTCTTGTGAGACCCCACCTGGAATACTGTGTTCAGCTCTGGAGTCCCCAACATCAGAAGGACATGGAGCTGCTGGAGCGGGTCCAGAGGAGGGCCACAAAGATGATGCGAGGGCTGGAGCACCTCTGCTCTGGAGACAGGCTGAGAGAGTTGGGGCTGTTCAGCCCGGAGAAGAGAAGGCTCTGGGGTGATCTTATAGCAGCTTTCCAGTACCTAAAGGGGGTCTACAGGAAAGCTGGAGAGGGGCTTTTTACAAGGGCGTGTAGTGATAGGACACAGGGAAATGGCTTTAAACTGAAAGAGGGCAGATTTAGATTAGATATAAGGAAGAAATTTTTCCCTCTGAGGGTGGTGAGGCACTGGAACAGGTTGCCCAGAGAAGTTGTGGTTGCCCCATCCCTGGAAGTGTTCAAGGTCAGGCTGGACAAGGCTTTGAGCAACCTGGTGTAGTGGAGGGTTTCCCTGCCCATGACAGGGGGGTTGAAACTAGATGATCTCTGAGGTCCCTTCCAACCCGAAACATTCTAGGATTCTATGACTAAGGAGCATAAATAGTCTGTGAAAATCAATCCTGTACAAGAAAAAGCACATGAACTACTTCAGCAGCCCTCAAACACTGGAGGCTGCAGAGAATCTCACAATGCAGTGATGATTTAATTATGACGAGTTAACTCTTGGCAAGAGTTAATTTTGCCATTTTAACAAAGCTGACAAGGAGCCCGCTATCCCAACAAAAGGCTTTCCTCACGGCAAGACTCTGCAGGTTTGGGGTAAAATAGTGTCACTGGGTTCAAATATTTCTTCCTTCACCATCACCTCGACTCCCGGCACCACCTGGGTCAGCAGCAACAGCGTCTCAACCGCGTACCTCGTCCCGTACATGTTTCCGGAGAACTCCGCGTGCTCAATGAATTCACCGGCAGCAATTTCCTTCTGCATTTCCTCTCTGGTCACAAAGTGGTAATCTGTAGTGGGAAAACAGGAAAAATAGCCAGAAATTAGCAGCTTGAAAGGTAAAGTTGATGGTCAAAATGACACCCATGGGTGCTTAGGGGAGAAGCACCTTAAAATCTGCTTTGGGTCACGTTGGCAGACTGCAGGTATCTACCTTCCAAGTATGATGTACAGCATCCCCTGTCCACCCCGATTGCCCAGACACCTGCTCAAAGCTGTTTTGGAGCCTTCTGTGTGGCCAGAAATGCTGCTGTACCCCCTTTCTCACATCCTTTCCCCTTTCTGGTGCAGTGGGAACCTCCCCCACCTCCTCACAGGTGTGGAACACATTACAGCAGGACCGCCAAGGCCCTTAATTTGAAAGCACTTATGATTAAAGACTGGAATGGGAAAAAAAGAGAGAGAGAGAAGTAGATAAAAGGGAACATCAAAACCAAACAGACTAAAAAGGAATGTTTCTCTATCTTTTGTTGAAATTCCTCCCTTTGACTTCAGAGTGAAAACTGACATTGGAAATTAATTGCAAACATCATTTGATTTTCTAAAATATGCAAACAAACCAGAAAGCAGAAAAGCAGCTGGCTGAGCTATTAATAGAGATAAAGTCATCTCGCTAAGCAGCCGGATTTCGCAAAGCATCCGAGTTATCTCACCAGGGCTACCTGGCACTTTGGAAAATGAAGCCACTCAATGCCTGAGAACAGATCAGGGTGCTTAAACTGAGAGTCTCACTCTGAAAACCTCAGCCAGCGAGTCAGAGACTGTGTCTAGAAAACAAAACTGGCAGCACACACTCTGCCTCTGTTAACGCTTCACTACTTCATTCAATTTTGGGTTTGTTCTGCCAAGTCCATCTCTCTTATCTTCTCTCCAAGGCACGGCACGTGCTGTAGAACAGCAGTAAATGGCTGTGGTCTCATTGCCACTGAGATAAGCAGCCTTCCAGTAGTTAAAGGAGGCCTACAGGAAAGCTGGGGAGGGACTTTTTCCAAGGGTGTGTAGTGACAGGACAAGGGGCAATGGATTTAAACTGAAAGAGGGGAGATTTAGATTAGATCTAAGGAAGAAATTTTTCACTCTGAGGGTGGTGAGGCTCTGGAACAGGCTGCCCAGAGAAGCTGTGGCTGCCCCATCCCTGGAAGTGTTCAAGGCCAGGTTGGATGGAGCTTTGGACAACCTGGTGTAGTGGAGAGTTTCCCTGCCCATGGCAGGGGGGCTGGAAGTAGATGATCTTTGAGGTTCCTTCCAACCCAAACCATTCTATGATTCAGAACAAAATTGTGTGTGTGCGCGTATACACACACACACTCAAATATATCACTACTGAATGCCTACTCCTCCTCCTTATAAACATAAATGTGGGACTAACTTACCTGCTAGTGGGGATTCATGCATGCACTCCACGTAAAAACTTAAAATTTTTCAGAGGAATTGTTTGCTGAGTCTGATTGAGACAGGCCCAACCACCACAGACTCACCTTTGCCATTTACTTCTCCAGGTCTTGGCTGCCTCGTGGTGTCTGTAAGCAAAAAAACAGCCCTGTAAATTTTGTAGATCACCTGAGGAGGTAATATTATCACAGAAATAAAATCATGTATGCAGTAGGTTAACCCAATCACGTCGTAAGCTGATGCTCTAGTTAAAATGATCAAAGTTTCTGCAATCAGCCAGTGTAACACACAATGACACGCAGGCTCGGCCTTTAATTGAAGAATCCGAGATAATCTGAAAACAATCAATTAAGATTGTCAGGGGCTGAGCAGTTAGTCTGGACTGGAGAGATGGGCCTGTGAGAACCTCATGAAGTTCAACAAGGCCAAGTGCAAGGTTCTGCACGTGGGTCGGGGCAATCCCATGCACAAGTACAGGCTGGGCGGAGAATGGATGGAGAGCAGCCCTGAGGAAAAGGACTTGGGAGTGCTGCTGCTGGATGATCTTTAAGGTCCCTTCCAACCCTAACCATTCTATGATTCTATGACTTACCAGGCTGGGCTTAGTTTTCAGCTCTGCTCCAGCATTCCTGTGTAATCCTAGACAAGTTATTCAGAGCTCTGCCTCAGCCGAGGGGAATTAGCAGTGCCCTGCTTCACAGCTCCCTTCATTTTACAAGATCACGCGGCACCCACACAGTGCTTAAAATAGCCAGATTTAACCAACATGGGCAACCTCCTGCCGGAGCCAGGTGAACCCATCTGGCAGCCTTGGAGCCCTGCTGGAAGTCGTGCAAACCAGTAGTATTTTAAGCACATGCTCTGCAAACCAGAGAGGAACTGATGGTCATCACGGATTATTTAGGACTGGCAGGAGTTAAGTTCTGCAATGAGGCTCTGATCACCTGGAAGTTTTTATAAAGCACCAGTCGCCAAGGTCTAAGTGCCTATGGAGATTTAGGAAAAAAAAAAAAAAAAAAAAAATCTATCCAGAGGCAACCTTGGGGAAAACGATGAGAGATTCAGTCGAATCAAGAGCACAAGACAAAACACAATAAGTTTTTTTCATCTCCAGCAACATTAAATTTTTAAACATCCAGTATTTGCCCTTTCATGGTAGAAAAAATCTAGATCTTGATGCAAGGATTTCACTCGCAGTATCCAAAGTGCTGGGACAGTAGAACACATTTTGGTAATGTACTTAAAAACACCTTGCAGAACTCCAAGGAAAATCAGGCAGGTGAGCTGTGGACACAGCCCAGGTTCCATGTGTAACCTTTAAGGTGTTGGCCAAGGAAAAGAAAACAAAATCAGTATTGCACCAGGCAAGCTGCTTGAAGAAATTCCCTGCACTTAACTCTCCTGTGGTCACAGGCAGGCGTGAGCGGTCCGAGCCGGCCGGCCAGAGGTTATTTTCATATCCCAGGGAACCATCCCAGGTAGGAAAAAAGGACCAGCACTTGGTTACCAGAGTAGAATAAGTCAGCAAACCACCAGAGCAATGGCAGGAGGAGGAACGTACGCAGGTGATGGGGCAAACTGACTGACCCAGTAATGAGAAGGGCTTCACAAAACACTTGAATTTTAAGGCTGAGATTCTGGGGTGCAGCCCCTGGGATGTTAAAATCCCCACCAGTTCCTGCAGGTGGATGGAAAGAGTTGGCTTTTGAAGCAAGTGGGTGGGGGGTGGATTTTGTTACTTTCAGAGTCAAGAATCACTCAGAAAAATCTCTGAGCTGTGTTTAGAGGTGTGGGGAGTCACCAGCCTGGAAAGGGTGCTATTCCAGACAAATCTTAGACTTACCACTCAACACCAGTAATAAAAGGCGTCCTGATTTATTTAAATATCCCAAAGAGCCCACAGACAGACTAGGACACAGGCAAGCCTGGGAAGCCCACTGTTTGAGGCAAGAATGCAGCCACTAAAGCAGGCCCTGGGCTAGCGGCCCTGAACTCCTCCACTGCCCTTCCTCAGGGAGACACAGATACTCACGGGAGACGCTGAAGCCGAAGATGTTCTCGTAATCTTTAAGCAATTTCTTTAACAAAGTGCTCTTCCCTGCACCTGATGGGCCACTCAGAACCACTGGTCTCGGCCCCTGCATGGCTAGAGAGACAGAAAAATACAGGTCTGGTTAGAAACACCCATGAAAAAAAGGTCACAGCTATGGGTTCCCACAAAACAGCATCTATCCTTTGCTCTCGATTCCAAGTTTCTACAGGTAAATCTGAAATCACGCGAAACCACAAACCTAGAGCGGACAGAAAGTAACTGGGAGTGCAGGAAACACCAGGGAAATTCAAACAGCTACTAAATTGGCAAACTGGCAGCATCCAGCAGGAGCTGCCACCTCTGTACCACAGCAGAAGATCTGAGCTGGGAGGCCTGAGGAGTCAGACACCGTTTTGGAAAGCTGACAGCGGAGGCCACCAGCAATGCAAGCAGGACAGCTTCACCTTGCTTTGCTGCTGGTCCCAGTTCTTCCCTGGGGAACAAATACATCAGACAAATAAAGGACATTTATCGCTGCAGCGTGAACACTCAGCTCTCAGGTTAAACTCATAGGACATAACCCAAAGGAGGAGGAAACTGGGCTCCAGCTGCCAGTAAACTGGGATAATTCAAGCCAGCTCTGTCCTAGCTCTGTTCTCTGTCATCAGGGTTGGGTGTCTCTAGGACCTAAATCCTGTGGAAGACGTTCTCTAACAGGAGGAAAACGCTGTCTGTGCCTGGTGGCATCTAGAAACATCCACAGAGACCATTAGATGTTTCCTATCATTCCTGGGACAAATATCCATGTGCAAAGCCTTTACCACAAGCAGACAACGTTCTGAAGCCCAGACCCAGAAGCCCAGCACGTCCTTCACCACCAAACCCCAAAGCCTTGCAGCAGCGGTCGGAACATGGGTGTGATCTGGGACACGAACATGCTTTGGGGTTTATTTCCATATTTCCTGGAGCACTAACTACAGCTCAAAGTGTCCCGTGGCAAGAGAAAGGTCTGGTTCCTGGTACAGGAAAAAAAAAACAACAACAACAGGCAGCCTGGGGCCACACAGACCTTTCTGGAGCTGTTCCTTCAGCCAGATGGAAAAACTGCGTGTTTTCACGTGTCTGCCTCTCTGAGGAGGAAGAAAGGTTAATTATCAACACGGGAATAAAGAAGAAAATCCTGTACAACACTGCAGGGGGTGTCACTGGGGACCCTCATCCATCAGCAGCAACTCAGCAGCTTCTCAACAAGAGGTGTTGATGAGAGCAGGACAAATCCAACAAGCCTCTTCTTCCTATTCCAAGCAGAAAAGCCCCAGAAATGCCTTTTTTCTCCCTCATGGCCTGGGTGTGGCCCGAAGAGCAAACAGCTGCCAGCCAGCAAACGCCTTTCCATTGGAAATTAGATCATGGCAATGTCACCCTGACCTCAGAAATCACTTTTCAAACAGCCTTAAGCCAAAAGCCGGCTCTTACAAAGCCAGTCGCGGCTCGCGCAGCGGGCTAATCCAGGCTGCCTCCCTGACCCCAGCCTGGGCAAGCTGGACACCTCCTTATCCCTAAATCCCTCCTGCACAGACATCTACCAGCTAGAAAGTGACACGAGTTTTCCTTCCGTTCCCCAAGGATGCTTCTTCCTTGTCAGACCTCCCCGGATCAGGCATTCTCCAGGGACCTCAGAGGATCAGTCCCATCGTATGTGCACGGCCACGTTGCTGGATTAGGCTCCATCATCCAAAAAAAAACCCAAGAAAGCTGAACAAACCTCTAGGGAGTCCTTCTGGGGACCTGTCCCACCTTCCCCTTAGCCACTGAGCTTTGATAATTTCCAACTATCCCAGGTTTTGCCTAGATGTTCGATGCAAAGAGGAGAGCATGACCTCCTCCTGCATCTCCTCACCAGTGAAATGCTCTTCGGTGCCGCAGCGAGGAAGCAGAGGGGCCCAGAGCACCCCCCTCTCCTCTGCCCCTGCCAGTTCCTCTTCCCACCTAAATCAAACGGATGGGCCCCAACAATTGCCTGCAAAAAAATCCAGAAGAGGAGCTACACAAAGTCCACCCACTGCCTTCCAGTCATCCCAGCATGCTCCGTAACACAGCTGCT